TTTTAGTAGCAAACCATTTTAGAAAGTTTTTGTGATTTTTTTTTTACAAAAAAAGCAACACGAAGTTCTACGCCTTCCCATGAGTCTCACTAACCACGGCATCGAAAAAATCGCACAACAAGAATCCAGTAGGAAACGGAGGCGTAGACATTACATTTATTTATAGTTAGTTAAATGGCAAATATCAACATGGATGAAAGTTTTTAGTTAAAATTTTAATATGTTCTATTACTGGTATGAAAGGCAGTTAATTCTGTTTGACTTACAATTAAATTTACTTTGCTCACTTTATATATTTTATCTAATTTGAATGCATCTACAATTATATTCATTATATCTTATATTTTTATGTTATAGGTACGTTACGAAATAATTTTTAGAATATCGCAATTATTGTGATAATATATTTTATTTTCGATAGAGAAAAACAAAATTATCTTGAAATAGTTTAATTACAAATTAATTATGGTACATTTATCATAACTATACATCGGAAACTTTATGCTAATAAGCAATACGCGTTGTAGCAGCAGAAATAGACTAAGTCTGTGGTCAAGCCGTGTGCCGCTCTGTGCTCATAATACACAATGCTACTAACTACCATAAAATCACGTGCCATACGCTTAACCAAACAAAGTCAAACTCGCTCACACACGCACAAACGACAATGAAATGCACGGCCAACGTCACTCAGCAAAAATCTTGGATTGTTCATCGGCACGCCATACCGACAGAGCAGACATTAAGATGCCGCTAAATACGTATCGAATAAATTGATCGATGCGAAACTTCAGATCAGAGGCAGACATGTACATTGTACATGTTATTTATTGTACAAAGACGCGGATAGTGGGATTACTAATATGTTAAGTATCTAGTTGATGATCGCCGCCTTTAGTAAAAATAACATATATTAAAAACTTCGACTATTTTAGATATGCGCCTGTGACCTCGGTAAATGTTGAACCGTCATTTTCGTTTTTGAAATGGGTATTTACCTATCGTCGCAGACAATTAAGACAGTGTTAATTATTTTCTACAATCGCTTTCTCTGTGAGTAAGAAATCATTATTTTGTTAACTTTTGTGGTACTTATTATTACGTACCATACCTATATAATTTATGGTAAGTTCCATGTGAAGCGTTTAGTGTAGAAAAATAGACACTGTCCCTTTTTGTTTTATACTATTATGCAAATAATTACATATTCTCATTATGTAAAGAGTACAGTACATAACAGAGAACCCGGCCTACAGCCAACCCTGTACCACATTGCAGCAGCCCTAATATATCCGATCTGTACTCATAACGTAATAGGAGATTTTTCTCATTATAAATGGTTAAAATTAAAATGACATAATTAATTTCTCTAAAGTCAGTTGTGTTAACAATTTTAAACATTATTTTGATGCCATATCTCTTGCAATTAATTTGAAATCAATATTGAGATTGTAAGAAATATTTTAAAGATACTTACATACTTCTAAAGCTTATTGTGTTTATTTTAAATGTATGTAGATACACGGTAGCGTGGTCGGTTGACTCCCTATTCTGGTCCAGGTTCGATCCCTGGCGTTGGCATTGGCAATGTCGATGGATAATGGGTGTTTGTCCGCGTTTTTTCAAGTGTAGCACCCTTCCGCACAGCCTTCGGCTTTTGATTTGGAAGTTGTCTCATTTCTGTGGTGTTTTATGCTTTATGTTAATGAAAAAAATAAAAAATTGTAAATTCGTAGAAATTTTAATGTGCGGTACTGTACAACACAATATACCACTTTTTTTTAATAACGTAACTTGAATATTTATTATAAATTTGCTTCATCTTTACTTTATTGTTCCTCTAAATTTCGTGTAGGTAAAATTATAATTATTACAGTCGCTAAAGTTTAAATTTAGAAATGTTATAGTATCTACCTACTTACTTATGTGCTAATTTTAATAAAGAGGAAACTAGGTACATTAAAAGGAAATTAGTTTCTTCAATATACTCGTACACAATGTTTAAAACTCAAACTTACTTTTACATAATGTATCTTATATTGAGTAGAACATTTAAGAGTTATCGACAATTACAGGCATATTTGGTAAAAACTGGGACTATTAATTATTGTAAATAATCTGAAATTATCATACATGATGCCATGGAAAAGTACAGATGGACATTTTGGTTTCTTTTTTTTAATAATAATAATAAAGTAATAAAAACTTTTAAATTCTTTGTTTTGTTTGTTTCAATTCAAAAGCTAGTAATACAGTAGGTACAAAAATTAAGAGATATTAAAAAAATCCCAAAATTTTGGGTGATTTTCAAAAAGTTGTAACTTGGAGAGAAATGGTTATGGTCGTAGGAGAATAAAAAAAAATTGAAAATTGAAGTGTCTAGTTTTCGGATCTGGAGTTTAAAATATTTTAGCATCAGCAGTTTTTGAGTAATCATAAAAAAATCATGAAAAAAATTGCAAATTTTTGCATTATTAAAAATGCCTCTGGACTTCTAAAAGTTTTTTTGGTAATTTCGCCATAAAGCTCTTAGATAATTTAATTCTCTTCAATTTGAGCGGTTCCGGAGCCTTGTACGATGATTTGTCGCTGTGTTATCATTGATCAAAGCAAAAAAAATCGTTTTCACTTTGGCAATCAATTACTATGGAAATAATGGTCGTACAGAAAATCCAAAAATGAAGAAAAAAATCAACTCAAAAAAATGAATAAAAAATTACTTATTAATTTCAACTCCTAGAAGGGGGGTGTATCGGGGTGGTAACGGGGAAATGGCTATTTAATTTGTTTTATTGTCATATTCGGTTTCAGCGACCCCAAACACGGGGGGGAGGGGGTGGTAGGGGGGTCTACCCTCTGGGTGTTGACATTTTTTGTGTCCCTGTGAAATTAATCCAACCTCCTCGTCAACCCTCAGCACCTTTGCCACCCACATTTGTTTTCAGCAGCCTAGAAAACGTTGACATACACAACCCACTCGACTTTGTATGAAAATTGACACTTCAACCCTCATAAAGGGCTGTATGGGGGTGGTAAAGTGACGCTAGGGGGTAACGAGGGGGTCTAATTCATATTTGGTAATCTTCTTCGTTCTTAGTGGCCCAGAAAACATAGAAATACATACCCTATTCGACTTTGTATGAGAATTGACATTTCAATTCCCAGAAGGGGGTATAGGTATGGGGGTGGTAACGGGGAAATGACTAATAAATTTTTTTTAATGGTCATATTCGGTTTCAGCGACCTCAAAAACGGAGGGATAGGGGATCTACCCTCTGGGTCTTGACACTTTTTTTTTGTGTGTCGGTGTTATTGATTTCCTTCAAAAACGACTTTAAACAATCCGGGCACTAAGACAAAAAAATCGCAGCGTTTTGAAATTATCAGGATTTCTTTAGGACAGTTTAGGGTTGAAAAGTTACCGTCAATATCCTTAATTTATTCATTATTTGCAAAGTTATGCCAAGTTATTCAAATATCCGTATTTACGCAATTATTACCCTTTTTCTAACCATTTTTACTTCTAAAAATCAAATCAAATTTTTCATCAATAACCAATAATTACGACTTGTAGAGAATACTTTGCAGTTTTCAAAAACCTGCTTGGATTTTCTGTACGGCCATTATTTCCTGAGTAATTGATTGCAAAAGTCAAAAATGATTTTTTTGCTTTGATCGATGATAACTCAGCGCCATAAATCATCGTACAAGGTTCCGAAACCACTTAAATTGTCTAAAAGGGCTTTATGGTGAAATTATCCCAAAAACAATTTTTGGAAGTCCATATGCTTTTTTAAAGAAAAGCAAAAATTTGCAATTTTTTTTTTTTTCGTTGATTTTCTTGTGATTACTCAAAAACTGCCGATGTTAAAAATGTTTAAACTCAAGATCCGAAAACTAGACAATTGAAGCTTCAATTTCCTTTTTTTCCATTCTCTTTACGACGAAGTTATAGTTCTTTGAAAATCACTCAAAATTTTGGGATTTTTTTAATATCCCTTAATTTCTGTGCCTTGTGTAGTTACAAGAGAAATAGAACAAGAGAATAGAAGAGAATTCTTTAGAAATATTCTATAGATGTATTCATGTTTGGATGCACTATAGAATATACTTTCGTTTTTTTCATTTTTAATAATTAGTTACTAGGTACTAGCGTGGTGTAATTCAATGCTAGTTGGGACATGCAGCCCATATAGTAATTGTTTCTCGCAATATCATCAGGTAATAAGCTTATCTATGATGTTAGATATATTTTGCATACTAGATTTTTGATATCCAAGGACTTTATCTGACTTCATTTGATATGACTTTTAGGAAATTTTTTGAATTTATTTGATACTTCTAAAATAAAAAAATGCGGTTCCATGTAAGAATAAGGAATGAGGCAAATTTTAAAATTTTTATAAAATGATGTACTACTCATTACCTTACTGAACAACCATTGAAGACTAAACAACTTGATAGTAATTTGATAAAATTACATAAGTTTATGTTACTATAAATAAATTAGTTAAGAGGGTTATTCCTTTTGACATATCATTTTTATTTACTTTGAATTTTTTTTGTCCTTTGAGTAGATTAAAATTCATATTCCATTTGAGGTTATAATGTAATTTACAAGGTGAATATCTTTATCCATCCAGCTTGTTCTGATTAGTTTAACAGGAAGCTTGTGATGGAGAACAGCTGATTTAACTTTTTTTCCAATTAGCTACAGTAGGTATGAATATTTTTTTAAATTTAAATTATCAGAATTGGTATCTGCGGAAATGGGACAAACGTTTATTTCCTTGCATTATTATCTCTGTTACTTTTTGTTTTATACATAATGCTGTATAACATTTGTTTCCATTCCGTACTTGTTCCGACAATAAAATACATGAAAGACACTCAGTATATCTCATTAGTACAGTACCTACACTAACTTTAATTAGAGCAACGAAAATACCTGTTGATAAGACCTGTTATATAAAGGATAAATAATATTGTATAGTTAGTAATATAGTAGGGTACCTACGATGCAGTTCTTATTAATTTGTCTTCTGTTTAGTAAAAGGTAAATATACATTCATATAATTAATTGAAATAGATGATGTTAAAAATATATTTTAAAAATAGAACTTCAATAGCCACTGAGAAATTTCTAAGTAGCTATTTATGTCAAACTTCATTATTTTTGGAATAAACTTCCATATTCGCATTTGACAGCGATAAAATAATTTGTTTGAAAATGTAACTTATTTAATAACTGACAATGCTTTCAATATTTTGAAACCAAATCCTATGAGACATATTCATTCTAGAAATGTAGGCGGTTTGTATATTTTTATTTCCTCTCATGCTGTTGAAATTTAATGCTACAGTTTATTTCCTACATCACGAAATAATAGGAGTACACTATTTTTAATCAGTAACTTAGTCTTGCAGATCAGTACAACATTAATAAGACACCATTTCCAGACTACTTTAAATTTGGAGCTGCGACAGCTGCCTATCAAATAGAAGGTAATACTAATACTAGCAATGTAACAATTAAAAGGTGGGTTTTATTTACTATTAAAATGTTATTTTTAACTCCTGTTGTTTTTAGGTTACATTAATTATACATATTAAAGACAATCAATATATCTACAGAATTTACTAAATTTAAGGCATAGTTGAGGAAACGAGTGCCAAAAATTTAGAGTGAACTTGATTTTTTTCCTATAAACCATATCTTTTGTTTTTGCGGCACAGAGCGTTAAAGATAATTTTCCAAAAAAAAAAATTTTCGTACAAATAAGTTTATGAGCATATTTCATGAGTCAATATTGTTAGTTTCTGACCATCAGTTAGAGGGCGCTACCAACTATTTCGTTCAGTAATACCTTATCCCTTAAACTTTTTCGAGGTTAGGTTTTTTCTGTAGTGTATGTATGCAGGGTGTCCCGGTACTTGAGACAAAAAAGTCGAATACAAATAGATTAGGTCAAAATAATATCAGTTCTTCATATAATTTTTTCCCATAAGGGCCTTCGTTAATAAGTTACGGGCCTCAAAGTTGAAAATTAAAAAAGGTATTTTTATTTACAGTCTCTAAACTATTAACCTCAACCGATGCTTTGGTGATCGATAACACATGCGTATAGCTTGTTTTTGATGATGTAAGTGAAACTTTATTATGCCCAGAACGCCAGGGAGGGACTTTGCGCAATGGATAACAACCCAGAATTCTTACATAGATGCCAATCGCAATCTGCCTGTATCAAAAATAAGTTCCCTGAAGAATTTGCCAACGATAATACCTTCTTGGTTCAACTCGGTAAAATTAACAGTTTAGGAAATATTTGTGATTTTATGTCACAGTGCACATCAAACGGCGCCTCCACCATTTTTTTTGTTTTTAATTTTTATTGAATATGATTACTGTGTTAGAACAGTACATATTTTTAAAATAAGAGTCTAGCAAATTTTACTGTCTTCTAATGTAATTTTCACTGACAAAATTTGACAAACACAATACACATAACACAAAATAGAAAACAAAACAAGAATAAGTTAAAGGAAGTTAAAAAATTAATTTAAAAGAAAGAAAATTATTAAAATATATTTTCAATATAGGCACTTTCCACCTCCACACACTTCCTAAATCTACGGATATTATTTGTTTATACACGAAAAAGCATTTCTGGGATACGTCTAATATTATCACAATGGAAATAAATTCTTTGTAGCCATTCATCCCCTGTCTGTACTGGGGTTGCGTACAATAAACTTTTCAGGTACCCTAACAGAAAAAGTCCATCGAGTTAAGTCTGGAAAACTTGGTGGCCATCAAATTGGGCCTCCTTTTCCAATCCATTTATTATGGATAAATAATTTCGTCCATCAATATTGAAATGGGGAGGAGCCCCATCGTGCATGAACCAAACGTTTTTTCCGCTGTCTAATGCAACATCGTCTAATAGTGGCTGCAAATTATTTTGCAAAAAATCCTAATATCGATATCCATTCAGACGTTTCTCAAAAACGTATGGATCTATTAAGTTATTACTCCATAAATGCTTTTTCGTGTACAAAGAACATTCGTAGACTAAGGAAATGTGTGGAGGTGAAATGTGCTCATATTGAAAAAGTATTTTATTAGTTTTCTTTCTTTTAAATTATTTTTTTAACTTCCTTTAACTTATTCTTGTTATGTTTTTCTATTTTGTGTTATGTGTACTTAAAGTGTGTTTCTCAAATTTTGTTAGTGAGAATTACATTAGCAAAGATTTTCTAGGCTCTTATTTTAAAATATGTACGGTTCTAACATAGTAATTATGTTCAATTAAAAATTAAAACAATAAATGGTGGAGGCGCCGCTCGATGTGCACTGACATAAAATCACAAATATTTTCTAAACTGTTAATTTTATTCAGTTGAACCAAAAGGGCATTGTCGTTGAAAATTCTTCAGGGAACTTATTTTTGATACAAGCAAATTGCTATCGCCGTCTATGCAAAAATTCTGGGTTGTTAACCATTGGGAGCAGTTCCTTCCTGGTGTTCTGAGCATAATGAAATTTCACTTACAACATCAAAAATAAGCTATACCCGTGTGTTATCGATCACCAAATTTGCATCATGCTGAAGTTAATAGTTTAGAAACTATAAATGAAAATAATTTTTTAATTTTCACCTTTGAGGGCACGTAACTCGTTAACGAAGACCCGTGTGCAAAAAATTTATATGAAGAACTGATATTATTTAGACCTTATCTATTTATACTCGACTTTTTTGTATCAAGTATCGGGACACCCTGTATATTGTTTTATAACGTCAAGTTTCATTTAAACAAAAAAGGTACTCTTATTAAAATCGCTGAAACTGAAAAATTTTTGAAAAAAATTTAATTTATCAAATTGTCCTAAAGTTGACCATCTTCTGTCCTTAATTACAGAGTTGCTGTTTGGGGGCGATTGGGACGATACTTTCAGGGTAGGTTTTATTTGGAAATAGACCCATATAAATTTACTTGAGTATAATTTTGCTTCCTCAAAAAAATGAAAAAAAAAAAAATATTTGAACGCCTGTAACATTTTAATAAAGCAAGAGTGTACTAAGGTAACTTGATATAAATTGATTTATTTTCATCCAAGCAAACTTGAAGTCACCTCCTTTGGTGTTCGGATACCCTGCACATTGAGGAATAGAAACTGGTTGACTTTGGGACAGACAGTTGCCTTTTTTATCAAAAACATTTGAAGTGATTTTAAAAATATATTTAATGAAATTTTACATTATACAGTATTATAAGACATGACTATAACAAAAATAAATAAATAAAATTTCAAAAAATTATTCAATGAAATAGATTGCTCTTTGGAAAAGATATAGTTTGATTTAATTTGATTTAAAAAAATCATCTCTGTATCTCAGAAACAAAAGACGATCCATAGTCTATGATCCATAGAAAGAATTCGTCTTATTTTTTATAATTGCTTTGTAGTCATTTCCGCAACACCCTGTATATTCAAAACACGAGTCAGACTATTTATTAGTGAATGAAACACACCCGTAAAAGTTGTAATATTAGAGAGGAATGGCAAGGAATTTGGAAAGGTTAAAGTCGGCCATATTGAAAGTTGTGTTGCGCTATTCTGTGCCAGTAAAACAGGCTGTGCCCATTTCGACGGTTATGACGAAAGGTTTTTAAAGGATAAAATATTGCCAGTTTTCCAAATTTTTTGCTACTACCAAATAGCAAAGAGATACACCAGTTCAAAGAAAATTGATGAATAATTTATAAAATACAACATAGGTAGTTTTTTGCTTTTCTTGTCAGTCAATGAAATATGTAATTATAGGAGCCTGGAATGAAGATGGAAAAGGAGAAAATATTTGGGATCACTTTTGTCACACTAGGCCTAAAGCCGTACTTAATGAAGATAATGGTGACATTGCTTGTGATTCCTATCACTTGTGGGAAAGAGACATAGAGATGTTAAAAGAATTGGGCGTGAATCATTACAGGTTTTCTATTTCGTGGGCTAGGATTTTGCCAACAGGTAAGGATATTCCAATTTCTCTAGAAAAATAAATGTTTTGAATGTAAGTATAAGGCGTAACTAACATACTCGAAGGAATGTTTTTTTTTTTGTCAAAATTTACATGACAGCAACATCTTTCCAAAAAGAATTTTTAAAAGTTAAACTGTTTTTTTAATTGATTTTTCAAGAGCCGTCATACTAGTAACGTAATAACCATTTTGGGTCAAAATTTTTGTGTCCCTTGAACGTTTTTTTTAGAACGACCTATGTTCAAGAGAAAAAAATCAAAAATCAGGGTAGTGCTTGACAAAGAAAACTAAACTAATACTAATTTTCTTAGCTTAACTAACTTTGGCAAAGAAATTTTTCATAGAGGGTGTTTACTAAATCCATGTACATTAATTCTTCCTTTTTTAAACTAAAAAGCCTAAATAAAGTATTGGCACATCTCTGATATAGATTGATGGAACTTGAGCTAAAAATTTATCTATTGAAGGCGAAAATTCACTTAATTTGTCAATCAGTAGCGGAGATACAGCAATGCAGAATAACTAAGAATTTCAATGTTATTAAAAAAATAATAATTCTACATAGAAAGATGTACATAATATTTTTGTTCTAAATGAATAGTTTATATGTAAAATGTGTTCAATTGTGTGGTAATCTATGTTAAATTAAAAAGACAAATTTTTCAAATAAAGTGGCACATCACTTTTCTTAAAGTAACTATAGATACTGTTTAAAAGTGTACCCTGAATAAAACATTCCTGTATACTTTATTATTTGAAGCGAATAGTTTATATTTTATCTGTAATCAGTTAAGTAATGGGCGTATTTTAAATTTACTCAGCGATTTAGAGATGTTTAAATAAATGATGTACAGGGTGGTCAAATGAAAACGAAACAGAGTCATTTTCAGGAATTGCGCCAAGATTGTAGATTTAGATTAAAGGGGGACATTCTTTGCAGGTATTTTTGACTCCGTCAATTTCACCCCCCAAGCAAGGGTAAGCATCACCCCAAAATATTTAAATGGCATTGGTGTTGAGTAATATTTCTTTTGAAAGCTCTTACAATTCTCTTTACAACAGACTTTAAATTTTATAATTCCGCCCAATACTTTGAAAAAAATTAAGTATTTCCGGAGTGATTCGACGGCATTCACGGACGATTCTTTGACGCAAACCTTCCACCGTCCTGTTGAAAAATCAAATGATCTTCATCATATTCTGGAACATTTTCACTAATATTAGTCAAGGCAGGGTCAATAGCGTCTTCCAGTAATTGCAAATATATTTGACCAGTCAAATTAACAGGTAGAAAAACAGGACCCACCAGCCGATCATCGAAAATTCCAGCCCATACATTTAATTTTTCCGGTTGCTGCGTATACACCTCGTGAAAAACTCTTAGGTTTGAATCGGAACAATAGCGGCAATTGTGACGATTTACTGTCAAGAAAACACTGCATTCATCAGAAAAACAGATGTTAAAAAGGGACTGTGGATCGTTCCCTGCTCGCCCACTCATTATTTCGCAAAATTGCAAACGGCGGTCATAATCATCCTCATGAAGTTCCTGGACTAAATGTATTTTGTATGGATGGAATTTATTCTTCTTCAAAATGGTTTGTATGCTAGTTCGATTGATCCCAGACACAGATGCCAGCTGCTTCGTACTTAATGTAGGATCAAGATGAACTTGTCCCAAAACTGCAACTTCACTAGCTTCATTAACTATAGGTTTTTCAATTTCTCGTTTTTTATTGGCTACGTTCCCTGTCTCTTGAAATTTTTTTACTAACTAGAATGTACTTCCTCCTATATGTCGATCTTGATGTTGTTCATTAAATAACTGAACTGTTCTATTAGCATATTTATTGTTTATAAAGTAAAGCGAAATGATAGCTACCCTTTTCGCAATGGGATAAACCATATTTAATTTTCAAAAACACTATTATTAAATAAACTACCAACCAACGCTTCCAAATAATACTAGAAAATAATTTGGAATCCACTAATTTTACGTTCATTGTGTGTGTATAGCATTCATTTCTGTTTTTTATAATTGTGTTTTTTTTTACGAAAGTGATAACAAATCGCCAAAAACCAATGTAACGCAAGAAATACTAAATTTATACCATTGGCGTACTTAACTCGAATGACTGACATTTTATCGTTACTAATTGTCTGTGCATAAGTTTCAACTTTAAAGTAAAGAGAATTGTAAGAGCTTTCAAAAGAAATATTGCTCAACCCCCAATGCCATTTAAATATTTTGGGGTAACGCTTACCCTTGCTTGGGGGTGAAAGTGACGGAGTCAAAAATACCAGCAAGGGATGTCCCCTTTTAATCTAAAATCGATGGGTCTGAGCGTTTTTCTACAATCTTGATGCAGTTCCTGAAAATGGATATGTTTCGTTTTCGTTTGGCCACCCGTATATTGTATTCAATACTCTCTGTATCGAAAACCAGTAGCCCATGATTTATGAAAATTTTTTGAACAAAATTAGTTGAATGAGTAAGAAAAACATCATGTGCTATTAGTTTTCTTTAATTACCAATTAACAAATTAACGTAAAACATTAAATTGTACCAACAAATATGAGTTGACAGTATTATGAGTATTGTTATCACGGTTTTTTGGACTTTACATGAATAGAAAATATAAGTTTGATTTTTCACAAGTAATCCAGATAAATCTCTAAATTAAATTGTATACCTATATAAGGTTTCATCATATAATTTTTTATTTTGTTATAGGTTATACAAATGTAGTCAGCAAAGAAGGAATTAATTATTACACCAAATTAATAAAAGAACTAAAACGTAACAACATAGAACCAATGGTGACTTTATACCACTGGGACCTACCACAAACCCTACAAGATCTTGGAGGATGGACAAATGATATCGTTGTGGATGCTTTTGTGAATTTTGCACGCATTTGCTTTGAATCGTTTGGTAAATATGTTCGGTATTGGATAACCGTAAATGAACCCTTCCAAGTCTGCCATCCTGGTTATGGTGACGGATCATTGGCTCCAGGTTTATATTCTCCTGGTATAGGCGAATACTTGTGCGCTCATAATTTAATAAAAGGACATGCACGAGTCTGGCGTGTCTACGATGATCAATTTAGAGATGCTCAGAAAGGTAAACTCTACATGAACGAAGGAAATTGAAATCAGTTTGCTTCTTCTCTGATTTCCATGATAGATATCCGTTAAGTAATTTTAATAACACCCTGTATAAAACAGGGTGTTTAAAGCTTGCACAGAATTTGTTAATGGCAGATAGAATACATTAATAATAAGCATTTTCTGTATGCAAAATATGCAAAACGGTGCTCAAAATTAATAATAACACAGTCCCACAAAAAAAAGTATCGTATCTGGTATTCAGACCCATGTATTTCCATGTACTTTTTTCCGCTGAATCCGAATTTGCCTTCAGATTTGATCCAACGGGTCTCAGTTTTCGAGAAAATTAAAAAAACAGGTCAAAATTCACAAAAAACGTCATTTACGATCGACGATAACCTTCGTCAAATTATTCTACCAGCTCACTAGACGTATGATTTTTCACTCGTTTAATTCCAATTTATCATCTTAGAGTCAGACAAGCTGGTCCAATTTCATTCAAAAACAGAAAATAGATCAAACTGCTTAAAAACGCCATTTTCATGGCATCATTCGTGTTGCAGAGTTCTGGATCCATCTTTTTATTCACCCACCCATTTATGAATTCATACATCTCTCTATCCAGTCGTTCATGCATGAATACGCATATTTATCCATTCACCTGTACCACCTATAAAACCCACCCATCCACCCATCTATCCATCTACTTTTTGTGCTGGGAGATGAGATAACAGCCTAGAAGATTGAGAATGCACTAAAACTTGTGGAATGCTCTACTTTCTAAACAAAAGAAAACGATATCAACAAATCATTCTTATTTTTGTTGTTATAACGTGTTTTCTTTTCTTCAAAGGATCTATGCAAAAGGCTTTCTTTCCTTATATATATAAAGGGCGAAAATTTCCGAATATTTCTGGGGCGAAATTGAAAGGTATATTCGATGGACCTCAGATTCGGACATTGTTCAAGGTTGCAACATTCATCACTACAATGAGTAGCGTTGAGAAGACTGCTTGGACGAGTTTCAATGTTGTATCGACAAATTTTTTAGGAAACAACAAGAGTCCTAAATACGAAGAAATTGTATCAAAAATGATAAAAGACTTCCAAGACCTGGGATGTTTGATGGACTACAAGTTGCACTTTCTTCATTCACATCTGGATTGGTTTCCTGAAAATATTAGAGATTATAGCAAAGAACAAGGCGAACGATCTCATCAGGATATGAAGGTTTATAGAATAGCGATATCAAGGAAGATGGGATCACAACATGATGGCCGATTTTTGTTGGTTGTTAAAAAGAGAAACGAAAAATAGAGGGACTAAACGAAAGCGTAACACTTTGCATAGATCCTTTGAACTAAAACACGTTGTAGCAACAAAAATAAGAATGATTTGTAAATATCGTTTTCCTTCGTTTAGAAAGTAGAGTATTCTACAAGTTTTATTGCATTCTCAATCTTCTAGGCTGTTATCGCATCTCTCAGTACAAAAAGTAGATGGATAGATGGGTGGATGGGTGGGTTTTCCAGGTGGTACAGGTGGATGGATAAATATGCGTATTCATGCATGAACGACTGGATAGAGAGATGTATGCATTCATAACTGGGTGGGTGGATAAAAAGATGGATCTAGAATTCTGCAACACGAATTATGCCATGAAAATGGCGTTTTTAAGCAGTTTGATCTATTTTCTGTTTTTGAATGAAATTGGACCAGCTTGTCTGACTCTATGATGATAAATTGGAATTAAACGAGTGAAAAATCATACGTCTAGTGAGCTGGTAGAATAATTTGACGAAGGTTATCGTCGATCGTAAATGACGTTTTTTGTGGATTTTGACCTGTTTTTTGAATTTTCCCGAAAACTCAGACCCGTTGGGCCAAATTTGAAGGCAAATTCGGATTCAGCGGAAAAAAGTACATGGAAATACATGGGTCTGAATACCAGTTCGGATACTTTTTTTGTGGGGCTGTGTAATCAGAACTGTTAAAATTTTTTGAAAATTTCTGAATTTGTTTCCGCAAGTTACACTGTATAAACAGGGCTGAACATTTGTGGCATAAATTGAATATTTTTTCAAATCGAAAAAAGTGTTTTGAAGGGTAAAGACTCTACTTTTCAGTGATGTACTTGATTTTTTGAAAAAAAAAATCATTCGCGGTGTCATACAACATTGAATATAGCAAAAAAACGTTTTTTTTACACATTTAGGTTAGAATATCTCGGCAACCTAGGGTGAAGGGTCAGTTATGAGGCCATATTCGGATTCAGCGCATCAAAAACCTTCGGAGACGTATTGACTGCTTTCTGGGTTTTTCCTTTTTTGAAATTTTGTCGGTCTGTGACTATTATTGAATAAATGTTTTAGTGAAAATTTATTTTCCTGGATTACTATTTCAACTGTGTTTTCTCGTTGTAAAAGCACAGTGTATCTGTGGTGTATATAGTAATAAGAGCGAATATACATATTAAAAAGGCCTATCGATATAGTAATAATTAATTAACTGCACATTTTTATGTGTTACGATTTCCTAATAGGAATGCACCAATACTTGTAAACAGAGAGTCAGAGCTACTGGTGAATCAGTGGTTCCCAAAAAGTTTTAATCATATCAATGTGCATGGTAACTGAGTAGGCATTAAAAAATATATACATTCAGTTTACAAATAATATTTCTGATATTTCGTACCTTGGTTTATAAAGGGTGTCCCAACAGAAACGCAGGATTTCATGTGAGGAAAAAAGATTCTGTTAATTAAAAAGTTGGCAAAGTTTTTACATGTTTTTAAAGGATACACATTGCCATTAAATAAAAAAAGTATGTCGGACTAATTTTACATAATCGACTTATTTTAAAAAAATTCTGTATCACGCTTTCGCATACCTGCGACTTAATTTCGTTGATAATTCTTCAAATTTCTGCCTTCAATTCAATAATGGTATTCATTTGAGCAGAATAAACTTTCCCCTGTGGACGAATCCCTATAGGAAAAAGTCGCTTGGTGTAAGATGGCATGATCTTGATGGACTAGTCACTTCACTGTTACATGAAATGAGTCGTCCGTTAAATTTCTAACATAACAAGTGCATAGTTTCACGTGCCCTTTGGCAGGTTGCACCATCCTGCTGGAACCACATCACACAATCCTGCCAACTCATCGGAATGAAAATGGCGCACAATTCAAATTCTGCATTACATTTGGGACACCTTTTATAGTCTTAAATATCCTCTCCACGTTTATAAACATGCTGCATTTTCAAATGTAAGTAATCTAATTACAGATATCTATACTCAGAGACCCAAAACCATAATGTCACTCGATAGCTCGCTCCTGATTACAGTCCGTTAAATTAAAAACACGGTCACAACAATGACCAATTGTAATGTAGAGTTAATATTCCTTTTACCCACAAAGTTCACCAATTCAATAATACAGCCACACACAAAAAAAAGTTGTTTGTACTTTTCATGCGACATATGTTATCTATAATAATATTTTTGTCTCCTTATCACGAATCCGGTGTCAGAATTGAGCTATAACATCACAGGAATTTCCTAACCTCAAAAAACAGCTAAAAAATATCAAAAATTCATGAATAAGTGCTAGGAAAAATACAAACATTTTTTTTATATTCAAATGTTCATTTATATAGTTAAGACCCCGCCGAACGTGAATTAGTGGTCAGAATTTATGGTTCTTTTTCTAACCTCAAAAAAACTGGTCCATTAAGGTCAGATATCACAAATTTTAAAAAAATTACAAATTCGCGCCAAATTTGGTATACGGGAGTTTTCAGGGTCGCTGATCATGGATCCGAGGTCAGTTTTGCAAAATTCAAGATGGCGGCCGACTAAATTTTCAAAAAATAACACATTCGCGCCAAATTTGCTATACGGGGGTTTTTGAGGTCACTGATCACGAATCCGAGATCAGATTTACAAAATTCAACCTGTGAATAGATATTTTACAGAAAAAAAACAAGATATAGCCGAAAAAAAGTAGGTTAACACATGATTGGGTACTCAGGTTATAAAGTAAAATATTACAAAATGAATTTCGCAATTCTGACCTCGAATACGTCGAAAACCCTCGTATACCAAATTTGCTGCTATTCTATTATTTGAAAATTTGGTCGGCCATTTTGGATCCGACATCTTGAAATTTGCAAAATTGACTTCGGGCAGCGACCCCAAAAACCCCTGTACAACAAATTTGCTGCGATTCTGTTATTTTTTGAACATTACAACAAATTGTCATTTCAATTATTTATTACAGTTACACTACAATTTCTTAAAATAAGTTTATACCTAATTAAATAATAACATATGTAAAGACAATTGCTGAACTCATATATTCCTTTCTTTCCCAGGAGTCATTTCAATGGCTGTTCATTGTGGCTGGTACCAAGCAGAATCCAATACCACAGAGGATTTAGAAGCAGCAGAGACTAAAAGTCAGTTTGTTGTAAGTAAAAACAGTTGTTGTTACCTTCGTTAGGTCGATAATAATATTTAATTTCTATTATAATTTTTCAGGATCTAACGTACTGTTGATAAATTATAAATATAACGGATATATTTTTTGACCAGGAACTTCAAATATCTCAGGAAATAAGCACCCTACGGAAAATTGAATCATTCCACGGGGAAAATACATTAGTGCTAAAGTCCCTCTCCCTCATCCCTTGTAGGTGGGGTGGAGGTGACTTGAAATTCGTCTCCAAAAAAAGTTTAAGTATTCAATTTATAAATTTCGAATAAGCGAAATTTTTACCTGTAGAAATATAGGTAATTGGCTGGTCAATAAATTGCTTTTAGCTTAACTAAGAACAACGACGTAGACATAGTAGTTTTCTGTTCCCTTTGGGGTGCTTGGTTGAAATAACTTGTTTCTTATAGTAATTTTTTTCTTTAACACAAAATACAAAAAAATGCATTCATTTGAAAGATGATTTAATTAAGCACTTCGCTAAGTCGCATTGACCAAGCATTCCAAAAAGGACGTCTGTTACTCTGTTGCGATAACAGTAGTTTCTTGACAAGTCAATTTTCAGTAATTGAAAATTTAATAAATAAAATTTGTTTTGCTACTGAAAAAAAAAACAGTTTTACGAAAGAATGTCCGGAAATGTTTCGATTTCGAAATATGTACCTATTACGAGCTGTTGAAATTTATAAAAAATCACATTTACTAAAATATATTTTGAAGACAGTTCAAGTAAAAAGACAATACATCAATTAACTATTCACCTAACTCAGGGTAAAATTTTATTAAATTAGGATATAGGTTCGGTTTACTTAAAATAATATTTTTAGAAAAATATCTTTTTTTCCGAAGAGTAGTTGTGGAGTTATTCTAGGTGAAACAAAGTGTTTGCTGAGGAAAGGAATACATCAGATTTATCAGAAACAACATTAGAGGTTGCAAGTAGCAAGCAATTATCAAACTAAACCAATCAGTGTTGTCGAGTTACTGAAATAATAGACGTTTGTGTCAGAATTCAGAAAATGTTACTTTTAAATAGGCAAATCATTAGCTCTACTTTATATCAAACATCTTCAGAAACATTATAGGAATATATCAGATTTTTTTTAAACTTTAACACCCTCTATTCAGAAAATGGAGCGTTTCCTATCATTTAAGACTATTATTTTTTATTTTGGTCACATGAATTCCAATTTTGAGTTTAGCCAATAAATCATAACTCGCTTTCTATTAAATGAAATTAATTTTAGAGATTGAGACTTTTTTTACATTTTTCTGTAGAGAAATGAATCTGTTCTCAAAATACATGAGTTTTCAGAACACAAGCCTCAAGAAATTTGTTTCAGTTTGGATGTTTTTCTTTTAGTGTCATTAAAAACATTGATTATAATTTTAGTATCTTAGTTATTTTGTTTCCAAGTAATGAATAAGTAACAGATAAGATTATTACAAAAAGAGCTTGAGTAAATATTTTGATAATGTGAAATAATTATTGTCTTCTTTTTCCATCAATCCGTTCAGTTTGGGCAATTCTTTTCATTGTCATTGTCATCTATCACATAATGTTCTTGAGGTTTTGGCCAATGCATTCTGATGGTGGAAATTGTTTTCCATTTTTGTCTTAATTGATCAAGCAATATTAAAATTAAAAGTACACTTATCTTCAGATAGGGTTGTACATGCACCCAATTTATTTAGGCGACTATCCCAAAGTTGTCAAGGATCGAATAGCCATGAGAAGTGAAAAAGAAGGTTTCTCGAAATCTCGTCTTCCTGAATTCAGTGAAGAGGAAATAGAGTACATCAAGGACACTCACGATTTCTTTGGAATCAATTATTACAGTACTTATAATGTAAAGGCTATCGCGGAGCCACCAATAGGTGAACCAAGCTTTGAAAAGGATTGTGGAGTTTTCACTTATTCTCCACCAGAGTGGGAGAGTACTCAACTAAGTGTGATGAAGGTGAGTCTGAAAACTGTTATCTTTAAATACAGTCCTGACTAAGACTCGATTACAAAATTTGCTTTAACGGGAAAGCAACAAATGATAACACAAAAACAATTAAAAACTGCGTTGCTTTCGAACGTTTCGGAAGAATCGATTTTATTCGCGCGAATTTAGGAAACTAAACAATAAAGAATCATCAGGGAAGTTAATTATATTCAGTGTGGGTGTGATTTAACCTACAAAGTATGTCATCTTAAATGTCATTGCTACTCTTTGCTTTGTGGTATAAAGGCCTGCACATACATACGCGGTAAGGTAAGCGGTGGCGCTTGAATGCAACGCATAGAAACAAATGGGTCAAAACATACATGTCGCAGTACGAGCGGTATATTTAAATTCGAATAACGCCACCGCCACCGCTACCGCCACCGCCATCGCTACCGCGTATGTATGTGCAGGCCTTTAAGTATTGTTTTATACCAACTGGATATAGCTATCGGTACTCTCAAAGTGTCGTGAAGTAAACTTTCTAACTATTGCTGTTGTTTAAAAATTTCTCTGTGGCCTATATACCCTGTCTAGCATTGAATTACACCCGCAACATCTAGTAAATAATGAAGATCATTCATCAGCAAGCACAAGTAGACATTAGGGACTTAATAGTAATGGCATTTAAGATCTGCTCATACTCAAAATATGTTGATTTATAAATAAATAAATTTGATGTAATTTAATGTGAGTAATAAATAGATCATCTAGTAAAATTTCAGAATCATGTTTAAAAAGCAAAAAATGTGATATTAAGTTCCACAAGAATATAAACAAAATAATGTTTCTATAAATTCTTACTAATTATTTAATTTCCAAAAATTTCCCATTTTTACCACATTGTCTCTAATTGTAGAATACACCATGGGGATTCAGAAAAATGCTGAAATGGATAAAAGATGAGTACAACAGTCCAGAAATATTAGTGACAGAAAATGGAATAGCCATTGATGAACAGTATAATGACGTCACAAGAATAAGATATTTAAAGGTATATACAGGGTGGGCCATTAGTGTGAGAAAATAAAATAACTCCCTTGTTACTCATAATACAGAAAAAAAGTTTATATAAAAGTTATACAGAATCAAGAAACCTAAACTACAAAATTAATTTGATACATACAGGGTGATAAGTAAAAACGGGATATGCCAAATATTACATTTTTTAAATGAAACGCCCTGTATATTTTTAAACAAATTGATTTCTGAGAAAAACTCTGTATATGGCAATATAAACAGTTTAACATTTTACTGCGGGGTTGCCAAGTTATGTAGAAAATTCTTCGAATTTTGAAAAAAGCATGACCTCGAAGAAGTTGTATTAAATTTCAACTACTAACACTTGGAGCAAAAATATAGGCAAGTGTTAGGCAAAGACTCCTATATCGATATTTTATACAGGTCATTTTTTTATAATACGATCATTTTTAGACAGTTTAAACTTGATTCTCTAAAATTTTTCAAATGTATTTTGTTCTATTTTGTTCACATATCGGTCCACTTCAAATTTTATTAAGCATATTCTATATCTAAAGTTGTTAGTATTTAAAATATAGCAACATTTCTGAAAAAACTTAATTTTTATTATTTTATGGAATACCACAAATAAATATTAACTAATAAAATGGAATGATAAATTATGAACTGACAAGTTGACACAATGTGACAGTTTTTTCCAAAGCCATTTCGTGCAACCGAAAATAATAAAAATTTAGTTTTTCCAGAAATGTTGCTATATCTTAAAAACTAACAATTTCAGGTGTAGAATATACTTAATAAAAGTTGAATTGGACTAATATGTGAATAAAATAGAACAATAAAATACAGGATGTTGCATTTGAAAAATTTTAGAAAATCATGTTTGAACTTTCTTAAAATGATCGTATTATAAAAAATGCCCTATATAAAATATAGATATTAGCTAACATGCTTTGCCTAATGTTTGCTCTCTCAAATATTTTTCCTCCAATTATTAGTAGTTGAAAGTTAATACAACTTCTTCGAGGTCATGTTTTTTCCAATATTCGAAGAATTTTCTACATAACTTGGCAACTCCGCACTAAAATGTTAAACTCAGAAATCCATATTTTAAAAATATAGGGGCGTTAAAAAATGTAATATTTGTCGTGTCCCGTTTTTACTCATCGCCCTGTACCTAATAACGTTTTTCTTGTGACATTTGATTGTGAATGTTGAAAAGAACAAAACATTACTTTTGCTAACTAATTTTTTCGAGAGTTTTATGTAACTGTTAATGTTTTTAGGAACATCTCAGCAGTGTGCGTGACGCCATGATGTTTGATGATGTTAACGTGACGCTATACACTGTATGGAGTCTATTGGATAATTTTGAATGGAGCAATGGTTACACGTAAGTATACTAAGATATCTTTAAAAAATCTTAAGTTCAGATTATATTATTAGTAAGGACGATTAAAAGAGTAAAGTGTAAAGTAAGTATTTTATTGGCAGTTAGGTATTCATATTTATGATACTAGGTATGTCCAAATATTTTCAGTACATAAAACACACATACCTGACACTGTGAAACTGTTAATAATGTAAAATAATCTTAAATATCAGGTATTTTTGTTCTAACTTTATCCTTAGACAAACATCAACACGTTAAAATAGCTACTATTAAAACAATCTTACTATCTCTGCGACAGCATAAAAGTTTTAACGATATTAGATTAATGTAAATTGTCTTTTTTTTACCTAACTAATATTTATCAGTTTCATTAAATTTATTTTTAAAAATATGTATTTTATTATTAGTTGCATTTTTATTTTATAAAGATGTTAAGCTAATTTATTTTATTTTATTTTATTTTATTTTTTCTAACAATGTTTCATACCAAAATAGATATAATTTTCATTCCTATATTTCTGGTAACGAAGAATCTTTTAGAAAAAAATTTTAATTTTTTTTGAAACAGCTAAATACCTTTATAGCAAAGTAAATACAGGGTGTCCCGTAAAGTACCTATGTTACAAACTTTGGGTGGTAATAGTACATAAAAAAATATGACTAAAAACTCTAATAAACATAACCTCTTAAACGCACCATTTTGAAGTTACAGACCTTCAAAGGTGCAACTATAAAAGTAGTTTTTATGACGTAACTCTTTGTTGGAAAAAGAAAACTTAATGAAATTTTCAGGGGCTAATCAGCTTTAGGAAATCAATAAATAATGCGGATATGAATAAAATCGAGAAAGCAGAAGGGTGTTTTTTTATCACCCTGTATCCTATTTTTTGCTAAAAAAAATTTTTCTGCAAAGGTACAGCAAGTATCATAAGATTTTTAGAAAGACCATTAAATTTAGAAATTTTTTTGTCTCTTGTGTTTTTTATGTAAAATGTTTAGTTTTCTAGTAAATTTACAAAATGCAGAGAGATGAGTGCTTCCGAATTATTTACATACATTTCTTAAGCCTAGTGAATTTTTAAGAATACAATCAATTTCCAAAATAATTTTTTTAATTAAGTAACCAAAACAGAACTAAAACAAAATATGTTATTATAATAAATGTTGAAATTGACCTCCTTCTGCATCGATACATGCTGTCAGTCTCTTTATAAAGTTAAATCTGACTCTTTGGAATATGAATAGACTATTTCTTATTAAATTAAAGGTTTCTACAATTCGCAGTCTAAGTTGATCTTCTGTATCAACAGGGGTTGCATAAACTTGAGATTTCGCGTGTCCCCAAAGATAAAAATCGACAGGATTCAAGTCCGGTGATCGCGGTGGCCAGGCTATTGGTGCATTATATCCTCTTCCAATCCATCGATTAGGAAACCGCATATGTAGATACTCTCTAACATGAACACTGAAATGCGCAGGTGCCCCGTCATGGAGGTACCACATGTATTGTCTCAAATTTAAAGGAACATTTTCCATTAACTCAGGGAGATGGTTTTCTAGGAAGTTTAAATATTCTACTGCATCAAGCCTTTGAGGTAGAAAGAAAGGCCCGAGCAAATAGTCACCTATTATTCCAGCCCATACGTTGACTGAGAATCGGTGTTGGTGATGACTATCAATGGTAGCATGAGGATTTTCGTCTGACCATGCATGTGCATTGTGCAAGTTCAGTAAACCATCTCGTGTAAAGGTGGCTTCATCGGTAAATAAAATGGAGCTAATAAATTCCACATTATGTTGGTGATGGTTAAGTATTATTCGGCAGAATTCTAGGCGTCGGGGAAGATCTTCAGGCATTAAATGTTGCACTTTTTGGAGATGGTAGGCATAAAGGCCGTTTTCCTTCAAAACACGCCAAACTGACATTCTGGAAAGCTGTAACTGATTAGCTGCCCTTCGCACACTTTCTCCCGGATTTTGTTCAAAAGATCTCAAAATTTGTTCATCTTGCGCGGGTAGTCTTCTAGCAATTCTACCACAATGTATGTAACGGGGTACCACACTACCAGTTTCAATAATCCGTCTGTGAATCCGAGTAAATAATTGTGTAGACGGCTGACGTCTCTGCGGATAACGTTCTATGTATGTTCTTCGAGCAGCTGTTGCATTTCCATTACATAATCCATAAATAAAATGCATTTCGGCATATTCTTGATTAGTAAAACGATTGTTATCCGCCATTGTACTCACAAATTAATAATTCGTCAACAGACACGATTAAAATATGGTAACAAATGTCAACTATGTTAAAAGTGACAGGCGCCTACTTTTTGAATACGTCAAATTTAACACCTAGCGGTGAGTAAACTCCCTTTGCATTTTGTAAATTTATTAGAAAACTAATCATTTTACATAAAAAATGCAAGAGACAAAAAAATTTCTAAATTCAATGGTCTTTCTAAAAATCTTATGATATTTGCTGTATCTTTGCAGAAAAATTTCTTTTGGCAAAAAATAGGATACAGGGTGATAAAAAAACACCATTCCGCTTTCTCAATTTTATTAATATCCACATTATTTATTGGCTTCCTAAAGCTGACTAGTTCCTGAAAATTTCATTATGTTCTCTTTTTCCAACAAAGAGTTACGTCACAAAAACTACTTTTGTAGTTGCCCCTTTTAAGGCCTATAACTTCAAAACGGTGCGTTTAAGAGGTTATGTTTATTAGAGTTTTTAGTCATATTTTTTTATGTACTTTCACCACCGAAAGTTTGTAACATACTTTACGGGACACCCTGTATATGTGAGTTAATAATAAAATATATATTTAAAAAGAAATTTAACAATTTTTGTTCAGGTAAAAAACAATTCACGTTAATCTAGTCATACTGTCAACACTTTTGACACTGTCGTTTCAAAATCCTTTCACAATGTTATTTTTATGTACAGCGTGATTCATTAACAATGGGAAAATCGAACGCTGAAGATACTACATGTGAAATGGTGACCATTGGCGCAAACGTGCCTTATCCAAAAGTTGATAGCTTCGGAAATACAGGGTGTTGAATGTTAAAATTTTAAATCGTTTTTTGCGATTATTCTGAAAATATGTAGGTTAGGAATTTGTGAAACAATATTTTTTTAAGCGAAGAATAAGATGCATGTTTCGGTGTAGCTCATAGAGGGCGCCACTTACGACCTATTTTACCTAAAATTTAGTTAATAACTTTTTACCCTGTATGTCTAACATGAAACTTGATTCAAAACCTGAAAGAGCGAGAAATCATTTTTCCATTAATTATGTATTCTTGTTTCATTTCGGTATCTCGATCCGTTTTAGAGAAAAATTGTTAATGAATCACTCTGTATAATTAAGTTATACATATTAATATTCCTTAAGTTCATTCACAAATGAAATATAATGATAAAATGTGGAAATACTAAGAACTCTCTATAGTTTATATATTTTTACGTGTTAGTCCTTGTCAAGGATGATATTATTAGAACAGCAAAATACAACATATTCAATGCCAGGCATGTGTTTTTATATTAATACTTTTTAGACGTCACTTTCATTCTGAATTTTAGGTAATTATTAATTACTAGCAGCTTACTAGATACTGGTAGTGTAAATCAATGATAGTTAGGGCATATAGCCCTAGAGTAGTTGTTTCTTGTCTGTGAGCTTACATATCTTTTGCATACATAGATTTTTCGTATCCAAGAACTATGTTTCACTTCATTAGATAGGTGCGGTTCTTTACAAAAAAAGTGAATTTATTTCAATTAGCTTAACGCCTTTATAATATTCCTATGAAATTCATTCATTATAATTTCAGAAAGTGCTTCATTGTCTCGTAATCGAATATTTATAAAAAAAAAGCTATGATCAAAGTAGAAATATTTTTTCATGAGCACTAGTTTCATTAATTGTACTATCATCATTTTAATCATATGATACCAGCAATTCCATGTTTAAGCAGCACCCTGTAAGATATTCCCAATGATGTTCCGTAATTTGACATTACCATTATTGTTATTATACATAATGCGCATTAGATTAACATTTATAAATATTTATTTATAATAATTTCTACAGACCCAAATTTGGGGTATATGAGACCAACTTCAGCAGTCCTGAAAGGACAAGGACACCAAGAAGATCAGCGAAATATTACAAACACGTAGCCACAACCCATGGAATAGTCTGGTCACAAGAAAACTAGATAGAAGTAGTTTTTTAAAGTAAGCTAGTGGAGGTTATGATAATAAAAGTAAATAATAAATGAAGTCCTTTATTTCGAACAGGTTTATTCTTCTAAATTTTAAATTAAGGTGCAGTTATGTCCTTCTTGGAGTCCATATGAATATCTCGATAGTGCGAGATACTATAAAAATGGTTCTTGGAATATCAATTGTAAAAGGATTATGTTGTCTTCTAATCTAGATATTTAAAATTGCAAGTTATTTAAAAGACTACCTTAATTAATTCCATTGCGCAAAAATGTATATAAAATATACATAATGTAAAATCTATTAAAAGGTACCGAAATATACAGGGTGTTTCAAGAAGGTGTTGCCAAACTTGAGGGGGTATAGAAGACATTGCGGAAGAAAAACCCCTAGTCGGAAATGAGCCGTTTTGGCCCTCGAGTAATTTTTGTTAAAAAAAATAATGTTATTACGTTGACTCCAAAAGGCGATATTAAAGTAATTTTTATTAAGAATATCGCAAAAATAATAAATTTATCATAATTATTGTTCAAAACAGTTTGTGGTACATCTGGTTTGAAGTTGCCTTTTTCTCTTAACCGACGATGGATTGACAAAAATGTTGTTCGGCGTGGATGTCGTCGATTCGGAAAGTACTCAGCTCTCTTCGAACGTAAATTGGTCCATTTCAACAACTTAGAAGCAAAATTTTATCGCAAACTAAACAAATTTGAAGCACTCAATTAGGTCCAATGATTTATTACGTGACAGCTCTGTTCATTTGTTTCACTATTCCTCATAGCATGACACAGATGACATTGCATGACTAGATTAGATGCGTGCAATGGAGTTTTTATCACACAGTTGTGGATAAAATCAATTTTTACCAACATCGTGTGTAGGACATGCAGTTGGTAAACATTTATCAGAGGAGATAAACGTGTTTGTTTTGCTTCAAATCATTTTTTGCGTTATCCTTAATAAAAATTACTTAAATATAAAAGTCTTTTGGGGTCAACTCAAATAACATTGTGTTTTTGGACAAAATTTCTCCAGAGTCAAAAGGTTCATTTTCGTCTAAGGGTTTATATGCAAAAATTTTCTACCACAATGTTCTCTATATCTCCCTCAACTTTGGCAACACCTTTTTTAAATACACTGTATATTCCAAATTCCCGTAAATTTCAAAATTTGTCTCTGAAGAGATTAAATATTATTATATTAACTGCTAATAAATAGTATAATTTAGTAAAACAATCTTTCCAGAAAAAGAAACAACTTTACATTTCGACGTGTTTAATTTCAGACGATTTAATAGTACACCGCTGAATAATTTTATCTACGATTTACGAGTCTCGGTGGCAGTGCCCCCACTCCACTCCATTGTCAGATACTAGTTCAGTGTTTTGTTTCTATTTAAATAAACTATTAATCCAAGTTTCATCAATCTCTGTCAATACAAGTTTAAATATTTTCCAAGATAAATGATTATTAACTTTTTATTTCGAAAAGTTAGTAGTATTAGACCATTGATTCATAAAAACACTTTAGTCTAAACTAATGTAAGGAGCACACTCTTGAAGTTACGACATGAACTTGCAAAACACGTATATTCAACGTTACGTTCTGATTCAGGAAAATATTAATTTTAAAGTAGTCTATATTACTTTCTGTCTCACCTCATACAAATTTTTCGATTGTTTGCAATAATTCTAGGAAACGAATATCTTTAAATGCTATTTTTCCTTTGCTTGTTTCCAATAATTTGATAATTACTTCTATTTTACATGTTTAAAAAAAAAACCGTTATCCAATGACTGACTACTCAAGTTGGTTTGTAATATCAAAAACTGTTTTCTGTTTCTAAATGTTAGGGATGTTAGGGTAAAAACACACATTGCACCGGAAATTCTCAGTTTAGATTCGGATTCAGCGGATAAAAAAATAATGAGACACATTGGTTAATCCAAGCTTAGCCCACTTTTTTCTTTGTGGCATTGTAGTAATTTATAGTTACTACTAATAACGTATATATTCGTACTTGTCTTCAACATTAGTAACAAGGTACCTTCTAAACATACTATGTATGATAGGTATCACTAAACTGTTAGAGCTAAATTTGTAAAAACAGTTTATAAAATAAGTAACCTAGTACTTTCAGAATAATTCGGTCCAAATTATTTCTTTTAAAGATATTGAAGGAAAAAGCACAGGTTTTTTAATGTTTCTAGTCTTATTTATAAGATAGTGTAATATTCTGCTTGTTATCATTTAAGGTCTTGGTAACGAAGTAAAGTGTTCAAATTAGGGTAATTATAAATCGGCCTGTTTTGTCAAGTATTAAATTGAAATTTATTGTTCCACGAGCAAATTCTATTTATCCTTTAACCCCGATTATGGTTACGTTGTAATAAGTATCCCAAATGGCCTAATTTATATGCAGGGCAGCTTTACGGTCTTTGTATTAATTTAGCATTTCATTATTTATTTAACGGGTCATTTTAACTGTAAATATGCATCCACTCCAATGCTAAAGGTTATAAATTATTTTCTTCTCATTCGGATATACATTACATCAAAACTGTATGATTTTTTGTATTGCACAATTATATAGTTGCAATTTTATTTGACTTGGCAGAGAGATAACAAATACAGTTATTCAAATTTTTGTTTTTTTTTAACAGACGCTTACTTACATATTTAGTAGGTAGATACATTTAGTAATAAACCGATTTTGGAATATTAAAGAATTATGTAGTATTAGGATTTATATATGCTCTTTATAGTAACCTCAAAAAATAGTTCAGAAAACAATAGCTTGCGATGGAAAGACAGCGATTTGTTATTATTTCTTTAGTAACATTTGTTGGTGAGCATTAATTACAGAACTGAGACAAGCCCAAACAGAAGATGCACTTGCACGATTCTTATGTAACAAGGGCCAGAAATAACTTTAATGGAATCATTCTTACGACTTCTTACTGATCAGTTTTAATTTCAGTAATAAACCGGGCATATCTGGACGTAAATGAAAATTATTGTCAATCTGTCAGTCAACTGAAACATTTCTTACAATATTCTTGCAATATTGATTCTGTAGTTGTGTTAATGTTTTTCGTGAAACGGGCAGTGTAACAAGAAAAGAAGGAAGCGGCCGACCTAAAAAGCGGACTGAAGAATTAAAAGAAAATGTCCAAAGAACTTCTGTACGTGTTTTATCACAAATGGTGGGAGTATCAGTCGGTACCTGCCACACAGTGTTAAAAAAAGATTTGCGTTTGTTCTCCTATCTATGTCAGCAAGAACTTCATGAAGTTGATTTTCCGCGACGGGCTATATTTTGTGAATGGTTTTTAAACAACTACGGTGAACTTCATAATATCACCTTTTTCTCTGATGAAGCCTGGTTTCATTTAAGTGGTTACGTAAACTCACAGAATGTGAGAATGTGGTCTTCTGAAAAACCAGATAACTTTTTTTCGAGGGCCCTCTATACGCTTAAAAAATTGGAGTTTGGTGTGCTCTCAATCGAAGGAGGATTTATGGACCTATTTTTTTTAATGGTACTCTTACTGCGCAAAGGTATAGAGAAGAAATTATCGCTCCTTTTGTTAACCAGCTGGAAGAAAACGAAATTACAAACTTTTACTTTCAACAAGATGGCGCAAGGGCACATACGGCAGGCGAGACGATGAATATGTTGAGGGAAGTTTTCCAAAATCGACTAATAAGTCTCAATGCTGAACATGAATTTCCACTGAGGTCATGTGATATTACGCCGTATGATTTCTTTTTGTGGCCTTACCTTAAAAACACTATTTTTAAGTGCCAATTCCTGATTTAAACCATCTGCAGGCTCGACTTATAGACAAGATTCGTGAAATTAACAATACCCCGAGCATCTTAGAAAATGTCTTTAATTCTTTGAGGAACAGGTGTGAAAAGTGCTTGGAACAAGGAGGGGGACACTTTCCGCAGCTCCTTTAATTGTTTGTTATTGTTATCACGATTATTCTTTAAAATAAAGTTATATAGTCATTAACGTTATTGAAACCGACAGCTGCTATACAGCTCGTTGAGAAATGAGGTTAAGTTGGTCGCTATAAGCTACTCCCTACGTCCAATGTGTCAGAGCCAACTTCGACCACGTTTTTATTTGAACGCTCGTTATAATATGTGTACATTTATTAAATATTACAGGTATCCTTGATGTTTAATGACAACATTTTTTATATGGAAATAAACTTCAGTATTTATATGCTTGAATGACAATCACCTAAATATCCTCTTATATTTAATGTACTAGAATATTTTTTATGGCTCTGTTTTATATTTTTCCCTGGCATAAAACCCGAATTAAATAATAAATTCTTCAGGAATGTAATTTTTATTCCCAATTGTGCGGATCCCTTACGGCTAATAAAATATGGTAATACTTTCCTCATGATACCTTGTGTTTCATAAATTTTCTGCAATGTAAAATATATTACGATTTCTCTTTTGAGAAGCAAAATAGCTACAAAAAATAAAGGACATTTTTAGTCATCATTCGGGAGTTGCCTTTTGAACATAAATTTTATACAATTGGGTAATTGTATAACAAATTGAATTTTCTGTTTTACAAACGAATATAATGAGCATTAAGATTTGTTTTGTTTCCACTATACCGTGGTGGTTTGGTAGGTTTATTGTTAAATTAAATAAGAATGATTTTAGATTTTAGCTTTTGAATACATTTACAATACGAGAAAGTTTGCGGTAATCCTGATAATATTTATTCATACATTCAAATATATATAATTGACCACTTTTTTAAGAGGACTTTCTAGATGCAAGTTCTTAAATATTAACAAATAAGAATGGATAAAAGTAAGTAATAGAGTTTGTTATATCGATATTATACAATTACACCTGTTTTTCTTAAAAGGTACGAAAATCTAAAAAAAATGGCGATCTAAATCGTTTCTAAATATCGTTTTATTCTATCATATTTGTGGTTACTGTTGTATGAGGATTTATGTATAGTTATACATAAATCCTTGCGGACAAAAAAATAAAGTGAAAGGTAATCC